ATGAAAGTTTGTATGAGACTTTGTCAGTTTTAAACGATTTGAAATTTGACATGCAGATATGTATGTTATCACATAGGCATCCGCTAAGAAAGGATTTTGATAATTTCCACCCCTAAGGGGTAAAATAGGGGATGAACGTTTGTATGAAGCTTTGTCAGTTTTACACCGATCGGTTGAAATTTGGCTGCAGATGGATATTATGACGTCCCTTTAAAAGGTTTTTGAACATTCTCACCCCAAAGTGGGTAAAATAGGGGGTGAAAGTTTGTATGATACTTTGCCAGTTTTAAATTGATCGGCTGAGACTTTGCATGCATAAAGTTACTATGACATAGGTATCTCTTTAGAAAGGATTTTGATAAATTCCACCCCTAAGGGGATAAAATAGGGAATGAGAGTTTGTATAAATCTTCTTAGCCGTTGAATTTAGAATCATTGAATCTTTTTGAATTACATTCGGTAAAACAATGATTTAGGACCTGGGTAACGTATGATAGTTTTTTCACAGATGTCTCACGAGAACGGGAACTATGTGTCAATGCCCCAGGACTCTCTAACTCTTAACCACTGAACTTATTCTAGAGAGATTCGGTACAACAATAGTCGATAGAATAGTTTTTATTACTCAAACCTTACGTGATCGGGCACTGTACTGGTAAGATCCCTGCGGGATTATTTTTTTATTGAAACTACGATAAATCATTTCAAAATAGGTAAATCTTACTTGGGCACTGAATTGATTCTGTCAGAAGTCATTAATCTACGCGGACGAAGTCGCGGGCAACAGCTAGTTAATACTAAAATTAACACTACTATTTTATATTTGATGGCCCGACATTTGACATCTCGCCTGGTGGTAAGCGACGATGCGGTCTACGATGGAGCACGTCGTCCCATATGCAACCTATTCACTCGGGCCTTGAAGACACCCAGGTTATAACCCTTCAGGAAATACAAACTCCGGCAAAGAATTCCACTCCTTAGCAGTACGCACAAGGAAGCTTGACGCGAAGCGCTTAGTGCTTGTGGGTGGGACATCTACTATGAATCGGTGACGCTTCGCCGATTGTCTTTGACGATGATAGGATGATAGGACTGGGGGAAATCACCGAAATATATCCGATAGAAAATGTAATGTATCTATTGTTATTCTTTTATAACATAACATAACAGCACGCCTTTTATCCCCGAAGGGGTAGGCAGAGGTGCACATTACGGCACTTAATCCCACTGTACAATGAACACCCACTTTTCACTATTTATGTTATGAGTCCCATGTAATTGGGGGTGAGCCTATTGCCATATACCGGACTAATAACCCAGTAATAATTTGCCCGACCCGGGAATCGAACCCGAACTCTTGCCCGGTAGTCGCACTTGCGACCATTCGGCCAACGAGGCAGTCAGTCTTTCTTCTATATATTTAGGTCTACATATACATAAATTGGTTGCTCCCTAGCGATCAATTGCCTATCTAGATTTAACTACTAAAGATAGAATTTTGATACACAATCCCCGACAATACCTCATGACACAGCTGGACTATGAATACCCTCTACATAAGAGGAGTTTATCATAAGCTTTGCGCTTCCATACGTCTTGCGGTATAAAAGGTTCAGGTTTATCAGAGAGCGCTGCTGCCCGGTTTCTGTCTAATGTGTAGTCCCTTAGTCGGGTATACGACACCCGCGGGAAGAATAGAGGTGGTGACAATCCGCAGTATAAAAGATTCAGGTTTATCAGAGAGCGCTGCTGCCCGGTCTCTGTCTAATGTGTAGTCCCTTAGTCGGGTATACGACACCCGCGGGAAGAGTAGAGGTGGTGACAATCCGCAGTATAAAAGGTTCAGGTATATCAGAGAGCGCTGCTGCCCGGTCTCTGTCTAATGTGTAGTCCCTTAGTCGGGTATACGACACCCGCGGGAAGAGTAGAGGTGGTGACAATCCGCAGTATAAAAGGTTCAGGTTTATCAGAGAGCGCTGCTGCCCGGTCTCTGTCTAATGTGTAGTCCCTTAGTCGGGTATACGACACCCGCGGGAAGAGTAGCGGTGGTGACAATTCGCAGTATAAAAGGTTCAGGTTTATCAGAGAGCGCTGCTGCCTAGTCTATGTCTAGTTTGTAGTCGCTTAGTCGGGTATACGACACCCGCGGGAAGAATAAAGGTGGTGACAATCCGCAGTATAAAAGGTTCAGGTTTATCAGAGAGCGCTGCTGCCCGGTCTCTGTCTAATGTGTAGTCCCTTAGTCGGGTATACGACACCCGCGGGAAGAATAGAGGTGGTGACAATCCGCAGTATAAAAGGTTCAGGTTTATCAGAGAGCGCTGCTGCCCGGTCTCTGTCTAATGTGTAATCCCTTAGTCGGGTATATAACACCCACGGCAAGAGCAGCGGTGCTGACAAATGTATTATACTCTGCCATCGCTATACGACTTTCTTTCAATCGTATATCTAGTTTAGACTACTTTGATATGATGTTTACACATTAAAACTTATAACGTATAATTAAATGTAGTTCTTTAATCGTATGAAACAGCGAACCGGTCTCTTTAACCAACTTAAAATGAGGCTGGTGTTGTTTTCACATTTTTACTACATCGAGTAAAAGTTTATTAATGTTTCTATTAAATTTATAAAGGTTATGGCTACACATCAAGCTTAACATAACCAGTATAAACTGAACGTTAAATGTGCGGAAAGATGATGCGACGCGACACCAGGATAAACTGGTTTTGTATAGATTGATGTGTGGCCGTGTGTAGACGTGGTCATCAAGATATGATAACCAGTATAAATTGCCCATCGAATATGAAGATAGACCATACAAAACGGGTCCATGATATAGTGGTTGTTTATAGTCCTATGTGTCGCTGTATGGGCACACAGATATTTTTTCATTTTTTTCAATGAAAATAGCTTGAAGTTGTTTTTAATTTAGCATTATTAGCTTTTTGATTACTGTTAAAGGCAAATCCTGGTGAGTTACGCTTTTAACTTGTATTATTCTAGGCTCACCCCCTATTACATGGGACTCATAACATAAATAGTGAAAAGTGGGTGTTACATTGTACAGTGGTATAATGTGCACCTCTGCTTACCCCTTCAAGGATAAAAGGCGTGATGTTATGTTATGTTATGCTATGTTTTTTATGGGATAAGTCGGTAAACGAGCAGACTCATCACCTGATGGTAAGCAATCGTCGCCGCCCAAGGATACCTGGAATACTAGAGGCGTTACAAGTGCGTTACCCACCTTTAGGACTTTGATTATTGTTTAGCGATTGGGGAGACAGTGGGGGTTGGGGGGAGGGTTAATTGGGCCTCCGGTAACCTCACTCACACGACGAAACACAACGCAAGCGTTGCTTCACGTCGGTTTTTTGCGGCCGTGGTATCACTCCGGTCGAGCCGGCCCATTCGTGCCGAACCATGGCTCTCCCACAACGTTTCATAAAAATAATTCTTCACATCAACAGCCACTACCAAAGTCTTCTTCTCACACGGAGAAGGTAGGTTCGAGCATTAATTACTAGACTCGCTCAATGCGAGTTGGCGATTACAAACTTATAATTAGAAATTATAAGCCCGGGTTTCCTCACGATGTTTTTCCTTCACCGTTTGTCAGTGGTGTCTAAATAATCTTAGAAAGTACATATAACTCGGAAAAAGTCACATTGGTAGTTACCGTTGGTAGGTTTTAAACCCGCACTCTCATGAATTAAGTAAGAGTACTAATTTTCTCCATTCAATATTTCATACTAAACTGAGTTTAAACTGGGTTAATCTAATATTACATTCGTTCTTTTAAATGACTCATTCAATGAATGAAAGTGAGCATCGCTTTCATTAGCTCAGAGAGAATTATGACGCCTCATTAATTTATGATTTAAAGAGGCGTACGTGATGTTGACACGGTTATAACACCTGATCTTAAAAGGGGTAAGCAGAGACGGTCATGGTAAATGTAACAGCTCATTTTCTCCAGTTATATTGTTATGATTATATAATATGGGTTTTTTTAAGCGGGGAAAATCATCAAATGACTGCTCCCGCCCGGGTAAGGCGGGAGGGAGTATCAGACTCTTACTGACTAAAAACCACCCCGTTCCTTCTCCTGCACGTCGAGCCGCAGCCCCGGTAACCCGTTAGGTTCTCCGCGACATATAATATGGGGTAGTTTGTTGCTGTGTACAGCAGACACAATTTAATAATATAATATAACATCACGCTTTTTATCAAGGCAGAGGTGCACATGACGGCACTTAATGCCACTGTACAATGTAACACCCACTTTTCACTATTTATGTTATGAGTCCCATGTAACAGGGAGTGAGTCTATTGCCATATACCGGGCACAATTCCAGACTCCGTGCTACTACTGAGATTTAAAATAAACCCAGTAATACTATGCCCGACCCGGGAATCGAACCCGACACCCCTTGACAGTTGCACTTGCAACCACTCGACTAACGAGTCACAAATTTATAACCGCGAAATACTTTTGACTAGAATCGAAACTGTAACTGTCTTGACAGTGAAGCCTGCTATAATGCTGCCATGAGGTAATATAGAGAATCGAAATCGAACTACCTTATTCAATTCGAAAATCCAAGAAGTTAACAATACCTAATTCAGAATTCTTTATCGGTTCAGACACCGATTTCCAAATGCATCGAATGAAATAAAAAATTCAGATTTATAGAATAACATTTTGCCTTACCGAGGTATGGAATCTCATGGATACTTTACAATCAGGTAAATTTAAATAAGATTGTTTTTGTTTTTCTCCCGTGTCGTGTGTGCGTTTACAAACATACAAGTTCACATACACATGACACTCAGACACGGAACAACAATCTGTGGATCACACAAAGAGTTGTTCCGTGCGGAAATCGAACCCACGACGCTTTGCCCGGCAGCCAGTTACCCAGCCACCGCGCCAGCCGTACCGTCACAATATATTTGTAAAAATATTTGTTAAATAATAGAGTACTGCTTACCTTCTGTGGCTGTTGGCTGTGTTTGTTCTTTAGGTCTATCCAGAGTCTAGCCAGGTTGATTGCCAGACCCAGCACCGCTACTATGAAGAATTTAATCTGGAAATTACAGAAAAATAAACTTTAAAACTAACAAATACAGACATGTAATAAAAAGTTGTTGATTATTTTTGTTAAATATAGCTTCGTGCGGTAATCGAATCTACAATAGCGTATTGCCTTTAAAATGTATTAGGTAGCATAATAGTTTATTCTCCAAAGGAATAGGAGTAACTTTAAATTGAACGATTTAATACAAATCGAATTCGACCCAGGTATCGATATATATAACATCACGCTTTTTATTCTCGAAGGGGTAGGTAGAGGTGGACAATATACCACTGTACAATGTAACACCCACTTTTCACTATTTATGTTATGAGTCCCATGTAATAGGGGGTGAGCCTATTGCCATATACCGGACACTGTTCCAGACTCCGTCCTACTACTGAGAATTAAAAAAAACCCCAGTTATACTTTGCCCGACCCGAGAATCGAACCCGAGACCACTTGCCGTCGCACTTGTGACCACTCAGCTAACGAGGCAGTCTAGGTATCGATAGTGACTAAATAATTGTTTTGTCGTTTATAAAAAATAAGTCATAGATTCAATTTCAGATATATTTACCTGTAATTTGTACGTAAGAATTTGCAACAAAGTTCCAATCTTCGCCTTGATGACAGCTCCCAAAATCAACAGCTTGAGGATAGCCTTCTTTTTCTTCTTCTTTTTTCCTCTTTGCTCTAGAAATATAAAGAAATACGTTAAAATTATAACAATCATAACAAAAAATATCTAAGTCATGCTCGCAGTCTCTAAAATAAAATTATAATTCGTGCTCTTTTTAATGCTTAAATAAGTAATAATCTAACTAAAATTATCGAATTCATGCTCGAACTTATTTTAAATTAAATAATAATTCGTGCTCTTTTTAATGCTTGAAAATTATAAAGAGAATTTACCCATATTTCCTGCTTATAATTAAAATAAGAAAGTAAATGAGTACACAAAAATCATACTCAAATTAATTTCTATTTTCGATTTAATGCTCATGCTTTTCGCTGGCATGCTCGTGCTAAAACAATTCTACAAAATAAATAACTAAAATAATTTTATTAAATGACGCATTCCATGCATACAAAATGCATAATTAGTAAATAAATGTTTTTACCACAACTGTAGACATTTTAAAGGTTTCTGCAAAATTGATAGAAAATTGAAATGAATGAAAATATTAAAATTATTAATATTTATGTAATTGCCTATGTATCTTTTATACATATCATTGGAACAAATAACATAACCATACAGTTTAAGTTTAAAAACAACTTCTAAACCCGGAAATTCAGTCGCGGAGAACTTAACGGGTTACCGGGTCTCCAGCTCGAAGTGCAGGAGTAGGAATGGGGTGGTTTTTAGTCAGTAAGAGTCTGACACTCCCTCTCGCCTCACCCAGGTGGGAGAAATCATTCGATGATGTTCCCGCTTTATAAAAACCCTATTATTTATCAAAGCAAAAACTCAAATAATTCTTCTGACATCCACCCCCTCTTTTTCGAAGTCGTTTTATTGATATTCTATAACCTTATCTTTTTACTTCGCTCAAGAATCGAACCAAAGACTCCACTATATAGACGATCAAACTTCGGCAATCGACCCAACAGCTAATTAAAAAATTAACCCACCATTACAAATTACTTTCAAAAATACCAAAACAAGGAGTCGAAATCGCGACTAATCGTACACAAGTCCCCATGACTAAACCCCATAAGAATCACATAGACACGGTAAAAATAACAAATGTCTACAAATAGTTAACATATTTGATTAGTCACATGTTTAAAAATAACTGGTTTTTTTTCGCGAAATCATTCCTCACCGATTCTGGTTTAAAGCACTTTCATATACCAACTTTCACTCTCATGCGCCGTAAATGTCAAAATTTTATCATTTGTATGCAATTTCCAGGATGTTCTTGTTTCTGTCTATAAATGGATTTTATTGTATTGAATATCTTTAAATCTTATATCTTATAAAGCGGAAGAGTTTGTTTTTTTGTTTGAACGCGCTAATCGCCGTAACTACAAGTCTGATTGGAATAATTCTTTTTGTGTTGGATAGCGCATTTATCGAGGATGGCTATAGGCTATAAAACATCACACTATGACCAATAGGAGCTGAACAGAGCGTGTGAAACCACGCGAAAGTAGCTAGTGTTGTACAGGATATGGCGTTTATAGAGGTATAATGGTTGATGAATTTTTTATGGGATAAGCACAGTAAACGAGCAGACGGATCACCTGATGGTAAGCAATCGGCGTTGCCCGTGGACACTCGAAACACCAGAGGTGTTACAAGTGCGTTGCCTACCTTTTAGGGATTAGGAATTAGATAATTGTTGGGGATTCAGGGATTGGGGAGATTGGGGAAGGGGAGAGGATAATTGGGCCTCCGGTCACCTCACCCACACGACGATACACAACGTAATCGTTGTTTCACGTAGGTATTCTGTGCGGCCGTGGTATTTATCACTCCGGTCGAGCTGTCGCCTTCGTGCCGAACCATGGCCCTCCCATATTTAAATGTGGGTAAAGGTTTACGTACTAAATGTAACATTTCTTTTTTGATAGTTATATCCTTAAATAATCCCGGGAATAGGGAACTAAATTTTACTTCGCCTGACTTGGGAATAAACCCATGATAGCGATCGATTAACGAGCGAGAGTTTTGAAAATATATGTTACGATCAGGATTTTTTGTTTAAAAAAGAATCCTCAGACGGAGTAAGTAATGTTTTATTTGCATCGGGAATCGAACCCTTACAAATCCCAACTCAACAAAACAGCACTTCGGAGGAACAAAAACCTGCAAAAAATCCCAAAACCAGAACTATCTAAACCCCAACCACCAACCTTCAACAGAGCTTCTATCCTTAATTCCATTCTCCAGGTTCTCATTTTCAACCACATGCTCAGCCAGAGAATCCAGAGCATTCTGGCCCATTGCCCAGAAGTCTGTCACCAGGCCTCTGGACACTTGAGTCGCATTCTCCTGGGCAGGCAAAGACCTTTCTCCTATCACCCAAGATTGGACCCCGGAGCCAAAGCTGCGACCTTTCTCTTCTTTAGGCGCCTTCCTTAGGGGCATCATGACTGGGTGGATGAGGTGGATCTTGGGCGGTTTCGGCTTCTTCTTCTTCATTTTTTTCTTGTCTCCTCCTGTTGAGATGGTGATGCTGTCTATTCCGCCGCCCTCGTGGTGTTTCTTGCCGAGTGCTCTGAGGAAGAAATTGTCGTATTAGTATGTGTGTTGCTAGATGTCCTAAGCAGAGGAGAAGGCGTTTGTCACCACCCTTCTCTTCCCGCGGGTATCGGCAGAGTTTAAAAAGACTACACTTTTGTTTTAAAACGTTGTCCCATACTAGATCGTGACATTGTACAACATATTTTTTTAAAACGAGTAACGAATGGAGTTTCTTGCTCGTTCTTCTCCATTCGAATCTACATTTTGGAATGAGCACCTAGCTTCACCTAGCTTCACTGATGGACTGACTGACAGACTATTATTTATTTTGTATTTGTTGACGTTTCAAAAGTACCAAATTATTGTTTAATTGAAATAAATGCTTTGACTTTGAATTTCTCCTGTGTCATAGGTGCGTAGACAGGAATACAACCCGCGATACGTTGCACGGCAGCCGGTTGCCCAGCCACCGCACCAACCGTGCAGCCCTAAGTTTATAGAACTGCGATTTTTAAATACCTGCCATGTCAAAGTCAAAATCATTTATTTCAATTAGACCAGGAAGGGATTTATGAACGTCAACAACAAACATTTAGAAATGAAGCTATTTGCTCATTTCAAGGTGTAGATTCCTATGTAGAAGAACGAGCAAGAAACTCCATAGGTTACTCTTTTTCAATCGGGTTTACAATACAATTCTCTAGTTACATAGTTTTGTTGGTTCGATTGTGTGAGAACAATGCAACACCTAAATGCAGTCAAAGAGATTGGAAAAGAAAATAACCTTGAGGACCATAAAATCATACAGTCTGGAGCTGACCAGTCCCAATTGTCGGCCATACCCCAACACCGCCCAACTCAACCATTTTGTAGGCAATCGAGCGATCCAATGCACGTGCCACCGCCAATGAGATCTTTGAGTGAGCATGACAACTCCTGCCATGGAGACTGTATCGTATGTAGATGAGGTTCAAACGTTAAGTGGTTCAAAGCATTCCCAAACTACAGTTACTTTAACAGCTCAGTCAGCAAACACCAGTTAAAAAGTGTGAAGTAATGTTTGTCTGTTTGTATTTGTCAAGTGAAAACTGTGTGAGACATTATGAGAAAGTTTGTAAATCCGTTTATTAGATGACATCTCTGCAACTGAGGGTTTTCATCTCATAAGTAGTTATGCGAAGATTTTGTCTTGTAAATGCATAGATACTTAGTATAAAATAATGTCATTTCTGCTGTTTGTCTTTGTATATGAAAAATATTCGGTTATTTTTAAATAAATATTATAAAATTAAATATTTTTATTGCAGACATAGGTATTGGGTTCATACATTTAGAGTGTATTACTATTAAATATATATATTCTTAATTAATTTAAGTTATTACATTATAACACCGCATTATCAAACTTTTTTTTATTATAGGTATTGTCAATTTAGGTAAACATTTAATTAAGCAGTAAGCTTTGTATTACGTATCATATAATCCTACATGCTAGAGTAAGCTAGTCTAATCTATACAGATTAATAAAATTTGTGTCTGTTTGTAATATTAAGATAACTGTTTTTGTGGGAAGAGTAGCACACGGCCCACCTGGTGGTAAGCGGTTACCGTGGCCTATTTACGCTTACAACACTTAGAGCATTACATGCGTCTTCATCAACAGCCTATAAATGCTCACTGCTGAGCTCACACGGAGAAGTTTTGAGCATTAATCACCACGCTTGCTCAATGCGGGTTAACGATTTCAAACTCATAATTAGAAATTATAAGTGCAGGTTTCCTCACGATGTTTTTCCTTCACCGTTTTTTTTTAAACATTGCCCCACACTAGGATTATCTCCTGTGTCGTGGGTGCGTTTACAAACATACAAGTTCACATACACATGACACCCAGACCCGAAACAACAATTTGTGGATCACACAAAGTGTTGTTCCGTGCGGGAATCGAACCCGCGACACGTTGCACGGCAGCCGGTTGCCCAGCCACCGCACCAACCGTGCATTGTCAGTGGTGTCTAAATAATCTTAGAAAGTACGGAAAAAGTCACATTGGTACTTGCCGTTGGTAGCTTTCGAACCTGCACCCTCATGCATGAGAAGGCGTCTTAAACCTGCGGGCCACCACAACACATGCATCTTGCTGACCCTTAATAAACCTAGTTACTCCTTTCTTGAAGAACCCCATATTGTAGGCCACTGGGAATACCTTGGCAGGGAGTTCATTCAGTTCTAGAATCGGAGGGTCCGTGGGAGGAAATTCCTCTGAAACCGAACTGTACGGGACCATTTGGGCATATATACCATAGGATATTAATATACATATACCGGAACTAGCTACTTCCGTACGGTTTCACATGCTCTGCACAGCTGCTATTGATCGTAGCGTGATGTTTTATAGCCTATAGCCATCCTCGATAAATGCGCTATCCAACACAAAAATAATTATTCCAATCAGACTTGTAGTTACGGAGATTAGCGCGTTCAAACAAACAAACAAAACAAACTCTTTCACTTTATATAATGGTATAAGATAAGATATAAGATACCAATTTTTATACTTTTTTGTTTCTGTCTGTTTGTATTGGCAAATCAGACCAGTAGTTTAAACAAACAAAGTCTATAACTTCATATAATAAATACTAATGTAATATAAGACTGAAGTAGTCTCATATGTGGGTTTACAAAACCCGCGTGAAGAATAGCGTTGTTGACAAATGTATTCTACTCTGCTGTCACACTCCATAACAGTCTCGCATATATATTAGTAAAATCAATTAATGCCGAGTGAAATTATTCACACCACGTGTGTGCGGACCGGACATCGAACCAGTGACTTTCACTAACCTACATGTGTGAGACACTTTGCTTAAAACAATGTTCTACAAAATCTGGTTTTGTAGTCTACATGGTAATTTGGGCATGTGATTGGCAGGTGTACAAGTGGTTACAAGTTCATTCTCATTTCAATTCTGTTTGCTCATTGATTTAAAATGGTTCAATTCTTTGGGGAAGGCAGAGGTGCACATTACGGCACTTAATACCATTGTACAATGTAACACCCACTTTTCACTATTTATGTTGTGAGTCCCATGTAAAAGGGGGTGAGTCTATTGCCATATACCGGGCACAATTCCAGACTCCATGCTACTACTGAGATTTTTAAAAACCCAATAATACTTTGCTCGACCCGGGAATCGAACCTGAGACCCCTTGCCCGGCAGTCGCACTTGCGACCACTCGGCCAACGAGGCAGTCGTACGAAAGCACGAACGTACTCTATTTTATTACTGCTACAGATTCTAGAGTACGCCTACATGATATAGAGGACAATACTCTATTCTAGGGTACGGTTGGGAGGAGGAGGCGGAGCGCGTGAGGGAACGAACCTCCTCACAGCCCGGCCGTCGCGAGAGACACTCCAGGCGTCGGGGATCGCGAGACGATCTCCGGCCACCGTAAGCACGGGCCTGCGGACGGCGAGCATGGGTGACTCGCCGCCCGACCAGAACCAGGCCCGAGCGTATGGCGCGTAGCGTTCCGCGCGCGCCTCAAGGAGCCATCAGACCACCACAGATGGGGCCTAATAGGGCTGATGTCGATACGGAGCCGCGGAAGACTTAACGGGTTGCCGGGGCTCCGGCTCGAAGTGCAGAAGTAGGAACGGGGTGGTTTTTAGTCACTAAGTGTCTGACACACCCTCCCACCTCACCCGGGCGGGAGAAGTCATTGGATGATTTTCCCCCCTTAAAAAAAGGGTACGGTTGGGAACCCTAGGCTCTTAGTCCAGCAGTGGACCATTACTGCCTATTGATGATTGCGGTCAAAATCAACAGCACTACATTCCTGCCTATCTCTTATTTAAATAACAACCATGATTATACGCTTTTCTCATAAAACATCATTCGAAAAAAATCATCTTTTCTTAAGGTATCACAAATTCACGATTACATGTCTAATTCCTATTACAATGGCTACCTAACTATATTTACAAAGCTGGGATTTCATATTTTTTGTTTGATATTAAAAAGCATTGATGAATTTAATGGGGGGTCGTGACCTAACCTGCTTAGGACTTGTGATCATCATGAGATTGAAGTTATATGTCCGGTTATGGTGGTACCAATGTGACTTTTTCCGAGTTATATGTATGTACTTACTACATATAAAATAGTTGATAATGTCTATGTTTACTAACCCAATTGTTTTGTCATTTCAGCTACTAACAACTAAAAACTACCGCAAAGTTAAGTTCGACGGTTCATTAATTTTCCCGTTACCACTCGACACTGGCAGTATAGTCGACAACGTTTTGGAGACTCAGTTGCCAAAGAAGAAAAAAAAATCTCGGAAAAAGTCACATTGGTAGGTTTCGAACCCGTACCCTTATGCAAGAGAAGCGGGCGTCTTAAACCTTCGGGCCACCACGACACGGGAGCATTTAATCGGGATAAAAATCCTGTCACTCAAGTCAGCCCATACCCTGCCTGTATACCAAAATTCATCACAATCCGTTCAGTAGTTTCGGCATGAATGACGGACAAACATTCAAACTAAGAAACTAAACACATTTATAATATTAGTATGATTCTAGTAAAAATTAAGAGAAAGATATCATTCCAATAAAAAAATATAAATATAGTAATATAACCATTTTATAACAACAACTTTTTATTGTTATTTTATTACTTATCATCCCATAAACCATATGACAATAACATTCTATCATTATTACATTTCTAAAGTAATAAAATAAAATGTAAGTAATAAATCTTTATTCTATTTTCAAATCATATAGAATGTTTTTGAAAGCTGGCCAATGAAGTTGTCGGAATATGTAATCGGATGCAATAATAAGAATAAAAAGTGAAATCTTTTAGTAATTATTTGTTATTATTATATTATGTATGTTGTTGTTGAAAGTTGTGTGGTTATTATTTAATTTTATTGTTTTATGTAATTTTAATACATTGTTATAATAATTTCATATGTGATGTTTCTTCACTGTTCGAGGTCAACTGCCTCGTTGGCCGAGTGGTTGCAAGTGCGACTGCCGGGCAAAGGGTCTCGGGTTCGATTTCCGGTCGGGCAAAGTATTACTGGGTTTTAAAATCTCAGTAGTAGCACAGATTCTGGGATTGTGCCCGGTATATGGCAATAGGCTCACCCATATTACATGGGACTCATAACATAAATTGTGAAGAGTGGGTATTACATTGTACATTGGCATTAAGTGCCGTATTGTGCACCACTACCTACTCCTTCTGGGATAAAAGGCGTGATGCTATGTTGAAGTTATTTCGCTCAAAAATTTAGTTTTTAACGACTTTAAAGAGAAATAAAGTACGTTCCCAGTTTGACATGTGTGTATATACATATGTATCTATGTATATATGTTTGTACGTGATTATCTCGCACAAAACATCGAAAACCAATCTGTAACTCCTCTGATGTCCATGGGCGGCGCCGATTGCTTACCATCAGGTGATCCGTCTGCTCATAAGCAATAAAAAAGAGGAAATCTTTTTACCTGGCCATCCCTCTTTCAACGATATTAGCGAGGGAGCTTAGAGAGTCTGTGATCTCCCGACCGATCTTGGAAGGCATCTCCTCAATGGAACGACCTGATGTCCTGATCTCAGCATCGGCTTCCTCTGTGAAAGAAAAAAAATTGGAGTTATTTATTGGCTTTTGTACAATACGTTGCGGGTTTGACTTCGGAGTAACAAGTTAGTTTTGGTAAAATTCGACTTGAGGTGTAGAAAATATATAGCTAAGATTTTAAGTGTGGGAGAGCCATGCTTCGGCACGAATGGGCCGGTTCGACCGGAGTGATACCACGGCCTCACAGAAAACCGACGTGATGCAACGCTTGCATTGTATTTCGTCGTGTGAGTGAGGTTACCGGAGGGCCAATTACCCTCCCCTTCCCTAATGTCCCCAATTCCTGAATCCCCAACGATCCTCAAACTCCTAATCCCCAAAAGGCCGGTAACGCACTTGTAACGCCTCTGGTGTTCTATGTGTCCATGGGCGACGCTGAATGCTTACCATCAGGTGATCCGTCTGCTCGTTTACCGGCTTATACCATAAAATAAAGATCTGTTGAACGAAAGGGTTATATACGATTCTGAAGCAGATAAAGGTGAAATTCTAGATCATAATTTTTGATATTATTTGATCAGAGAGCAACTTGACTGCTGTGCAACGTGTCGTGGGATCGATTCCCGTTCAGAACAATTGCTTGTGTGATCCGCAAATTATTGTTATTGTGTCGGAGGATGAAACCAAAGAAAATTCGAGTTCCCTTAAAAAAATAAATTAATTATCTTGAAAGAGTTTCTGTTAAATAATAATACGTACAATTCTACCAACCACTGTAGAAAACCCATGATATCCTTTTTTTGAAGGGGGGTGAAATCATCCAATGACTTCTCCCGCTCTCGTGCGGCGAGAGAGAGTGTCAGACTTTTACTGACTATACACCACCCCGTTCCTATGTCTAATGTCTACGTCGTTAGAGTCTGAAACTCCCTTCCGCCTTACCCAGGCGTGAGGAGTAATTTCTATTCCTAAAACCCGTTCCTATTCCTGCTTCGGGCAGGAGCCTCGGTACATATTTAAGTTCTCCGCGGCAAATAATTATAATAAGTGACAGATCCAGCATTAACATCATCGATTATACAGCACAAAGTGTGTGAGAAACTGCTTTGATTTAAACGTAGAAAATCTTGTATTATATTAGAGATACATTGTTCCATTGTCTGTCCGTCTATCTGTCTACATACATGTATGTTTGTATGGGAAAATTTTCAATATTTACTACTAGCTTTTACCTGCGGCTTTGCTCGCGTCACAAAAGGATAAAAAGTAGTCTATGTGACATGTACCAATACACACAGCGCCATCTATACCAATACTTTTGTTTTCCCTCGGGATAACAAATTTTTCCAGGTTAAAAAGTACTCTATTATTTAATCAGGACTTCTAACTTTACGTCTGTAAAAAATCAAATCAATCGGTTTAGTAGTTACGGCGTGAAAGCGGAACAAACAAACAAACTCACTTTCCGATTTATAATATTAGTAAGGATAGCAAATATTACGAGTAAAGAATATAATTCGACTTTCGCGCCGTTGTGGGAATTTTCTGAGAGGTACAACGTGTACCTAATCATTATATTTTAAGGCTTGGATTACTAGGTTTTTATCATCATCACGCGTACAGCCACGTACTGTCCACTCCCTCCCACAGTCCACCACCAATGACAACACATCGCAAGGTTGAAAGTGACCTGGGGGCTTACTCTTGAATCCAATTCCGATCGATCGACATTGGTATTGTGAAATTTTGTACTCTTGAGTTGCAACACTAGCGCGTATTGTATCCGTATTGCGTGGATATTGAATGAACTAAATGGTATTAAGTTTGGCTTTATATTCCGTACTCTGAATGCTATTGTAACAGCTACGATTGTGGGTGTATAGTGTTGACATTAAATAATTATTGAGATTTTATTGGATTCCAATTGCATTGACATTGAGATTGGCTTCAAGAGTAAGCCTCCAGGATACAGCGGCTGTCGCAGACTTCTATCGGGTCGTCACTATCACTAGCATCTTTCATCTTTTTTTTTTTAAAACATTGCCCCACACTTAGATTTTCTCCTGAGTCGTGGGTGCGTTTACAAACATACAATTTCACATACACACACACCCAGACCCGAAACAACAATTTGTGGATCACACAAAGTGTCGTTCCGTGCGGGAATCGAACGCGCGACACGTTGCACGGCAGCCGGTTGCCCAGCCACCGCACCATCCGTGCAGTCTTCAAAATCATCGACATCGACTTCAAAACAAGAAGGAAGTTCTTAATTTGACCTGCATCTATGCATGTATGTACTATGTGTGTGCGCGATTATCGCGATGGCCTGAACCGGTTTTGATGTTGTTTTTAGAAAAGTGTTTCATACACTTAGGAAACGGTTTTAATACATTAATTTACGCACTTTAAAAAGAGAGGGTTGAATCCGGTTTTTTTAACGTAGTTTATAAAAGCAGCAGTTTAATCAAGCGGCGCATTGTAGTCTTTATTACGTCATCATTAATTTTTGTCTACAGAAAAACCATCATAATTTTTGTCTACAGAAAAACCCCTCATAATTTTTTTCTACAGAAACATAATCATAATTTTTGTCTACAGAAAAACCCTCATAATTTTTGTCTACAGAATTACCTCTTAATTGGTTTATTCAATCGCGTTGGAATATCACAGCTCTTCTACATTTGATAATATTACGGTGTTGATAGTCATCGATAACGGAACGGCACACTTAAGAATTCTGATGTATTGGGTGATAGGCATTGTAATTGTTTGATTGACCTAGTGGCTTCGGATAGTAAGGTATCCGGTTCGATGTCAAGGTCGGCCAACAAAGGAGTTCTTTTAAAACATAGGTAATATTCGTATTGGAATTTAGTCTCTCATGCACTGCTGCCCGGTCTCTGTCAAATATGTAGTTCCTTAGCCGGGTATACGACACCCGCGGGAAGAGTAGCGGTGGTGACAATATGTATTCTAGTCTGTTGTCAACACATTCACATACTTATTACGTTTTGAAAAAAAAGAAAGTGGAATATTTACAAAATGAACAGTTTTTTCCTTATGTATATCCCGATTAGATAAACAAGTAAAAGTTGGTTGTGATTTCTTTAGATGTTATCAAAAAAAACCAGTTTTTAAACTGAAGAGTGAAAGTTTTATTAGACGGCTAGGATTATTATTTAATCAGTATGTTTTTGGCGGAATGGTTGCAACCGTGACTGTCGAATAACATTGGGTTTGAATACCAGATCAAGCAAGCAAAAGTGTTATACGATCGTGAATACCGAGCTAAGGTTTCCACAGTATAACTAGGCGGATATTGACGCTGAGACCATTGGTCGCGGGTCGCTAAGCGGGGGGTACTATTTTCATATCGCTTGAAATTCTCTGCTAATAGCAACGGGTTACCTTCTGACTCTCGCGGGTGTCGTATACCCGACTAAGGGACTACACATTAGACAGGGACCGGGCAGTAGCGCTCTCTGATAAACCTGAACCTTTTATACTGCGGTCTCCAACCTGCCTAACAACCTCTAGCTTATAGTTCCAGCAGTGGACTGTCACGAGCTTGTGTGTGCTGTAAATCGGCGTCGCCCATGGACACCCGAAACCCCAGAGGTGTTACAAGTGCGTTGCCGGCCTTTTGGGGATTAGGAGTTTGAGAATAGTTGGCATTGGGAGATTGGGGGTAATTGGGCCGCCGGTAACCTCACTCACACGACGAAACACAACGCAAGCGTTGCTTCACGTCGGTTTTCTGCTCGGCCGTGGTATCACTCTGGTCGAGCCGGCCCATTTGTGCTGAAGCATGGCTCTCCCACACTTAAAATTTACTGGATTACTGTTAAAAAATGTCAGTAGTAGCACGGTATAATGAATTGGAAATTGTGCCCGATATATGGCAATAGGCTCACCCCCTATTACATGGAACTCATAACATGAATGGTGAAAAATAGGTGTTAGATTGTACAGTGGCATTAAGTGCCGTAATGTACACCTCTACCTACCCATCGGAGATAAAAGGCGTGATGTTATGTTAGGCATGGTTCTCCCATACTTATGTATGTTGTACTTATGTATTTAGAGAGTATAACGAACATTTCTCTAATTGTTTGAATTAATCATCTTGTAATTAGAAATGAGATAAAACATGTGTTCTGTATAATTATCACTGTAATTAATTATAGAAAGTATAATTTATAATATCTACTAAGTACTCAAAGGGTTTAATTTTGTGTGGAATACGTGACTCCGTCCAAACGTTCCGGATTCCAAATGCTACTTTTTATCCCACGAGCGCGGGTGAAGCCGCGAGCAGAAGCTAGTTTTAAAGAAAGAAAGAAAGAAAAAACATTTATTTAGCACCAGGCACGATGCAGCATAAATAAAAAATAAAAAAAGACAATCAAGGTGTGACAGTGGAAGTAATAAAAATATAAGAGTTGAAAAATTGAAACAGAAGAATTAGAAAAGAGATGCTGACAACATGCCTATGCTAAAAGGGTCACCCACTCAGTGTAAGGCAGGCATACAGGCTACCCAGCACTGATTTTCAGTGGGCACCCATGCAGTGACGCACGTGTGTCAAGAAGATTTATTAACATAATATGTAATGTGTTACTAAAAGAAATTCGAGAGAAGCCAGTACGCATCACTAGTACATTCATAAATGACAAGAGATATCGTGTTGTAAATCGGTTAATAGTGTGACATCTACCATTATGGTAGTGGGTTCGAAGCCCGGTTCGAGTTGACACGGATACTGTGGCCATAAGCTTGTGGTTACTACTGTTACACCTCTTACTTGGAACAGGGGTGGCAGACATGTAAAAAATTGACTTACTTAAAACTACATAATATAACATTATGCCTGGATTAGGTTGAAGTGTATAAACTCCAACTTCTGACATTATTACTGCTGCTATCCATCAGGTTTGTATATTTTAAGTGTGGGAGAGCCATGCTTCGGCACGAATGGGCCGGCTCGACCGGAGTGCTACCACGGCCGATCAGAAAACCGACGTGAAACAACGCTTGCATTGTGTTT